TTGATAATTATTTAACAAATAAAAATTAATATATTAATAATATAATAATGATTGTTTGCTAAATTATTAAAAATAATAATTAACAATTAATTATAAATAATGAGTATGTTAGTAATGTACTCATATTTATTAGATTATAAGTAATTAATTAGTGTATTAAGAAAAATAATTAGTATATACATAATTTATTAATATTCCTTTTACTACTTAAATTATTAACTTTTAGTTACACAATTAAATAATTAGTTAATTAATTACTAATTTTTATTTAATAATCTATTATTTGATATATCACACGATCAATTTTTGGTAATTATTCTTTTTATAATGATTAATTACTAATTATCAATTATTAATTATTATTAATTAATATATTACGTATGGATAATTATAATTTAATATTAATTATTAATTAAGTAATTACTATTTATTTTTTATTTACCAACTATTTACTAATTAATGGATTATAATTAACATAACATATGATTGATATATTAATTATTAATTATAATTAATAATTAAGTAATTACTATATATTTATTAGTTATTAAGTATATCTATTTATTAATTATTAATTAATATATCATATAATTAGTAATTAATTATTAATTATTTAATATAACTTTATTGATAATCATTAATTGTACTATGCTGATTCCCACACAAATTAAAAGTCAAAGTTGCATTTAGACTGCTTCTGATTTTGACTGTAGATTTTTTAAAAATAACTTTTTATAGTTTTTATTAAACACCATTATCAGATTCGGATGGCTAAAAAAGTGATTTTGGGCTATAAAAAATACTACCAAACGCACCCAATATTAGAACAAAGCTAAAGGGGAAAAAAGTACATGTATATACAGTACTGCAATGTAATGACCGGGAAAAATTTAGGTCTAATTCGGACAGTCTGGTATGTGACCGAAATCCTTTTCGGAATAATAAGTAGTAGAATTTTGATGTAATCAAGAAAATATTACGGAGGAACTTTATGTATAGGGTAAAATTTCTCGAAATATGTAAAGTTATAATACGAATGTTCTTACAAGGAAAATTCATAAATATCAGTTATGAATAGTGAAATAGTAGTTAAAAGTTAAAAATTTGAGCAGGTATATTTTAGTTATGCAAAACTAAAATATTTGGTACGTGACCAAATGACCAGTTAGAAAAAGAGTAGAAATATTAGAAGTAAGAAAAATAACAAAAGTTCCTGAAACAGAATTTTCTCGAGCCAGTTAAAGTGAGAAACTGCTAAAAAAATGAGTACCGCGAGAGTATGCGTTTTGGACAATTCTGAATCGATTAAAATGATAATTTCAGAAAAAGAAATTGACTAATGAGATACCCAAGAGAATTGGGTTGAACATGATAAGTTTGACCCAGGGTACTCAACAGTTCAGAAAAGTAGTATAGAACCTGTACTGATTGTGAAATTATTAGTACCGGAAAGAGACTTGTTTTGAGAAACGGAAAGTTAAGTCTCGACAAGAAAAATGTGGGGAACATAGAACCACTCAAATTAAGAGTTAAACTTAAGTAGAATTAATAAAATTAAATTATGGGAATTAAAGTAATTTTTTTAATTTAATTTAGAAAAATAATATAAGATATTATAAAAAATATTATTATTATATTCATTTATGCCTTAAGAACGTGAAGTGGAGATATTAGAAGCCACTTTTGTCTTCTTTGCCTAAGTGTGGCCGACCAAGAAGAAAGAGAAAGAAAAAAAAAAAAGGGTTAAGTCAAAAGGCTTATTACCGTGAGGTGTATATGTATTTCACATGCAGGGGAACACTTGGCCATATTACATGATGTGGTGACTCACATTGATGACTCACGCTAAAGTTGGTGACTTATCTTGTAGAATCACCTAAGTTTACTAAGGTTATTACTCACGGAAGGTAATTATGAATGTAAGGCACAATATAGAAAAGAAGAGGAAAACGGGAGAGAGTGAAGTAAAAGAAGAAATAGATTAGAGAGAGACGGAGGAAGAGAAATCAAGGAAATCAACCATTTTTGATATATCACAAATAATTAGTTAATTAATTACTAATTTTTATTTAATAATCTATTATTTGATATATTACACAATCAATTTTTGGTAATTATTCTTTTTATAATGATTAATTACTAATTATCAATTATCAATTATTATTGATTAATATATTACGTATGGATAATTATAATTTAATATTAATTATTAATTAAGTAATTACTATTTATTTTTTATTTACCAACTATTTACTAATTAATGGATTATAATTAACATAACATATGATTATATATTAATTCTTAATTATTTATTTAACAACTTATTATTACTCATTTTATTGTTAATATGTTATATAATTAATTTTTAATAATTAATCTTTAACTAAATAAATAATTACTATATTATTTATTATTTTATTAACAAAATTAAAAACTCTATGGTAATAAATTAATATTTAATTAAAAATTAAGTAATTACTATCTATTAATTAATTATTAAGTATATCTATTTATTAATTATTAATTAATATATAATATAATTAGTAATTAATTATTAATTATTTAATATAACTTTGTTGATAATCATTAATTGTATTATGCTGATTCCTACACAAACTAAGGCATCGTTCATTTCACTGATTTGAGTTTTCAGTTTTAAGTTTTTACAGTAAAAAGCTCTAAGAAAATGTCACATCTAACTTTTTCTGGTACAGTGAAAAGCTCTCAGAAAATATCACATCTCAACTCGAATTGAAAACTCGAATCTGTGAAGTGAACGAGGCCTAAAAGTCAAAGTTGCATTTGGACTGCTTCTGATTTTGACTGTAGATTCTTTAAAAATCACTTTTTATAGTTTTTACTAAACACCATTATCAGATTCGGATGGCTAAAAAAGTGATTTTAGGCTCTAAAAAATACTACCAAATGCACCCAATATTAGAATAAAGCTAAAGGGGAAAAAAGTACATGTATATACAGTAGTTCAATGTTGGTGATGCTATATATGTGCTTGTGAAAGTTATTTTGCGATGTGCGTTTGGAACTCATTTTAAAATAATTTTATTTTTTGTATGAAAATGAAAACGTTTTCAATCTAAGATAGAAATCATTTTTGAAAATATGTTTAGTAATTTTATCAAGAAATTGTTTTCAATATAAAAAAACTTATTAATGTCTCTCTCTCTTTCTCTTTGCTCGAGAGAGGAGAAAATGAAAAATAAAAAAATGAAAAACGACTAAAAGTTATTTTTTATTTCTTTCTCATTTTATATTAAATCAAAAAATTATTTTCATTTTTTATTTTTATCTTTATTGTGCCAAACATCGTTTTAAAAATATTTTTATTTTTTATTTCTCAAAAAACGTAAAAAATAAAAAACAAGATTAATTCTAAATACGACCTCTGCCATACCTGTGCTTAACGTCATAGATTTACAATATGTTTGGTAGGAAAGAAAAGTAGAAGGAAGGAAGAAGGTGGAGGGATTTTGGAAGGAAAAATGAAAATGTAAGTTGTTTGGTAGGAGAGAAAAGAGAAATGAAGAGAAAATAGAGTGGAAAATAATTCATGTGGGTCCCACTATTTTTTTTTTTCCCCACAAGTGGGCAGAAAATTGGATGGAAATGAGGGCAACTCATTAAAGTGAGCAAAGTTACTAAACTACTATTTTCTCCATCAACACCCAAGTAAAAAATTTAAGGGTATAAAAGTAATTTACGAGTAAGATTTTTTCTTTCTTCCCAATTTAACTTTCAATACCAAACAAGTGAATGTAAGCTCATTTTCTTTCCATTTTCTCATACCAAATAATATAAAAGAAAATTAATTTTCTTTCTATCATTATTATTTTCTATCACTTTCATATTTCCTTTCTATCCTATTTTCTTTTCTTCCTACCAAACATAGCATTAGTGTTGGGCAGTTTGTTTAATGGTTATCCAATTTGCTCATGAAATTGTTTGTGCCCTCGGGAATTTCAATATCGTGTGGATTTCATTTCAGATTCCGGCTTTTAAACCTGTTATAAGTGATGGTTTCTTGTTTTATTTTCATGACCACTTTCGTATCTTTTTATAAGTTACAATCCCGTTCTAACATTTCGTTTCTCTAGATTGTTTCTCATATCCTTACAATTGTTAGCTTGTATTATTAGCTTCTGGACGGTGCGCAATTGAGCAGGCGTGTCAAACCATAGACAGTGCAGGTTCATATTTGTTGGGAAATGGAGCTATTATTGTTGGAATTGGATGTTAAGAAGAATGATCTGAATTACGTAAAATAATATAGTTGGAAGAAGAATATGCAAAACAAAGATGAGGTTAATGGAACTTTGTCCACGTTTTCTCAGTTCTTGAGAATTGTAGGGCCAGTCATCCTATGGATCTACACACTTCGAAAGTAATGAGAAGAGTGATGAAAACAAAGCTCGTGAGAGTGATGGAGGAGAAGATAAATAATAAATATATATGGACGAATTTTTAATAATTAAATTTTTATTTATAGTTAACTAATAAATATAAAAATTTAATGGCGTTACGTGATAAGAATTTAGTTCTATTAATTATTATAAATTTTTTTAGTTAAATATGTAATTTAAAATATAATCGTCGGATTAATATTTTATGATTAAAATAATGATACTCATTAATAAATAAATATTATATATTAAAGAGATTGACAAATTCGAGAACTGGGGCAGCCGCCCATGTGTAAGAATATTAGTGTGATGAGTTTATCTATCCTCGGCGTGTTATGTGACTTGTGTTGTTTTTAGCCCAAAGAACAAAGCCGGAAAGAAGAAAAGGCCATTAGCATGTAATTTTTCCCCACCAAAGAAAAAGAAAGAAAAGACGGGACAATACCAACTTGCATGAAGTTAACAATGGCAACCTAGTGGCTGTGTGGCACCACATTTAGGAAAGTGAAACCGGACAATAGTACAAGAAAAATATGGTGTACGGTTTTAATGTTGTACATTGAATACGTAGTTGTCGTTTGTTTGATATTTTCCGGATCTCCCCCTTCAATTTGAAACCTTGTTTCAGTAATGAATGAATGAAGGGGACAGTAGACTTCAAGGCTAGGCTGGCATTGCCTGTAAAAGATAGAGTTCATGGATTTTAGAAAGTCTTTGTCAACAAATATCTTCGAAGTCTTGTTTGATATGTTTTTTGTGAGGCAAAAGCACTTGGTAAGAAGATGCCGGCTTTTGACGAGTGATCTTGCTTTCTTGAATCTTGATTGATGAAGGTTGATTGGCAACGGTTAATAGAAAGATAGAACATAGTGCACATGAACAACCATTTCGATTTTACGCCTTTTTTCTTTCTTTCTTCTAACTTGATTTCATGTGTTACAAAAAAAGTTGAAGAACTACTTAACCCATCCTCCTTTCTTTTTGCTACTGAAACTTCTTAACCCATCAGATACCTCACCGTGATTCTTAAAATCCTCGAAAGCTCATTGATTTAAGTCCTAAAGTCCTAAAACTCACGTATGTATGTACTCTATCATCAGCATCCTTTAAGAATAGCTCAGGAGGGACTAGACACAGTAAGCTAGAAAAAAAAAAACCAACAACGTAAGAGGAGTGTAAACCTACAAAGAAAAAAACTGTTTCATTCTGTCACTCTATCCTTACTGGAGGCCATCATACTCAACTCCACCTGCTGATCCTCTATTCTGCTCACTGCACGCGAAAGATCTTTGCTGGCAAAAGACATGGTATCTTCTTTAGCAAGTCGTCTCTGCTTTATCTTCAAAACAGCCTGCGAAACTTCTCCTATTGAAGGTCTCCTTCTCGGTGTCTTTTGCAGGCATCTGTGGCCAATGCTAGCTAGGTTTCTCACTTCTTCAATGTTGCACCCTCCGGCTAGTTGCTTATCCAGTATCTCATCAACGCCATCTGGACTCATGGATGCCTAAGAAGGGGATTGTAGATTTGTTGGTCAGAAGTTTGGCAATGCAAGTAATTGAAGCAAGCGACTGTCTGAGAGGGGAAACACTCACCAAGTTAATGTATTCCGTTAGGTTTTGGTGCGGATGGATAGCTGTGATGAGTTCGAATATTATAACGCCGAAGCTGTAGATGTCACTCTTCATGGTAAAATTGCTTGTCGTTATGTACATTGGGTCTATGTAGCCATATGTGCCTTTAAGGCCAGAATTCCTGCCATCAAATACTTCTTCCTTCGACAGTCCAAAATCAGCAACCTAAACACGAAGAAAATTGCTTTAGTTTATCGTTCTTATGAACCAGTAAAGAGACAATGATATCTGCATATGGCAACCAGCTTCTTCTTGCCCTTTTTTTTTTGGTTTTCGTTTTGTTACTAACAAGTATACCTTATCTACATTTTTAACATCTCAACTGCTCACTAAGAATTTTAAGCCATAGTGGGGTTTGTTCGTCATCTTACCTTCGCTCTCATTGATCCGTCCAACAAAATATTAGCAGATTTCAAATCGCGATGTATGACAGGCGGGACAGCCTGTTCAAAGAAATCTCATGATTAAGGAATTAAACATGAAAATATTTCACCAAAGCGAAAGAAAAAACTACAAATGCACAAATACCCCTTCATGTAGGTACTCAATTCCATGGGATATATCAAGAGCAATTTGAAGCCTTTCATCCCAGTTCAAACCCCGGTCTTCTCCACCTAGGTTTACATAAAGCAGGACGGTTCTTAAATAAGGACAACACAAATCCTACCAACGAAAAGGCAGTCTAAAGTTGTTAGCTAGTAAACTAACGAAATAAAAAAGGGAAATTACAAATCCAGCTCAATCTATGATGAAAAGACCGTCAAGCTCACATGATATGATGGTAAATTCATCTCTTTCGATATACTATCTAACATACTTGTTACTATTCAGAATAAATGTATTGTGTTTCAGTTTTCTTTTCTATTAGATTTCATCTACTTTAGGCTTCATAATAAAAAGGAAAAAAAAATGTAGAGATGGATATTCGAGCTTACCATAAAGAAGGTTTGCTAAGCTTCCATTACTCATGAACTCGTAAACTAACATGTGTTGCCCTTTATCAACACAATATCCCACTAGATTTACTAGATTCCGGTGATGCAGTCTCCCAAGCACAGATACCTGCCATAAGACCACAAAAGATAATGAAAAGCTAAGGGTCCATTTAGTTCATGTGTTTAAACCAATGATTCTTGATTTGGCATTTGAAATTCAAATTTTTTGTGAGAGAAAAACATTGTAGCAGAATCAAAACCACAGGTTTAAACACACGAAACAAACGAGCCCCAAGAATAGTTTGTTTTCGAAGAGCGAAACAAACAGATATACATAGCTCAGTTTGGAAAATTTGAATTGCAGAGAAACTTTCAACAAGTGGAAATTTTGTTCTTCCTAGGATTAGTAAAACGTAGTTGTAAGAGTATCCCTTACCTCAGTTTGGAACTCTCTCTCCCCCTGTTTAGAATCGGACGCAAGAACCTTCACAGCCACTACTTCTCCGGTAGCCATTGTTGCTTTATACACAGGACCAAATGACCCTTGTCCTAAAATAGTCGTGAAGTTTTGTGTAGCTTTCTGTATATCCCTAGAAAATACGACGGCCATCAGATAGATCACGTATACAGTCCATTAACTCAATAATCATAAGAGCTGGGTAATAGATTCCAAGAGAAGTGCTAGTTATCCAAGCAATGCCCACAAGTTCATTTGTTAATCATACTTTATACAATGAGTCTACTTGGAAACATAACAATAATAATGAGTTTTACAATGTGTACATTGATATTGCACAGTCAATTTCATCAAAAAGTTCAAAAGCGCAAAGATCACATACTTGTATGAGTATTTAGGTATGCCTGAAACGGAAGCAAGTCGATCTTTCTTTTGGTTATTCCACAAAAAGAACTGAGAATTTTTGCGGCCGCTTTCTGATCCTTTAACCGCAACAGTATTTGAGAGAGACGCACTGAAGTCAGTACTTGTGCCGAAGCCATTACTTCGTATAGGAACAGTCGTTACACTACGCTCATTCGTGCAACGTCGAAGATGAGCATGCTTCTTGTACCATCTTATGGCACAAAAAACGAGTAAAGCAATCAAAATACCAAGAGCCAAACCAACAGAAATTCCAATAATAACAAGATTAGCTTTATGAGCCATTCTTTGGTCTCTTTGGAAGTTCAGGCAATGAAAGCATCTTGCAAGGCAAATCGCCACAGATTCTCTGACATGAAAGAACACATATACATCATTTAGATTTAACACATTCATGGCCAAATACAATATACTAACAAAAATGATAAAAATTCAACAAATTTCGTTGCCATTAGGCTCATAAAGGAACCAAGTAAGAAATGTTACAAGAGGTTTAAGAAAAGCATTATAAGAAATGTTACAAGAAGTTTAAGAAAAGCATTATTTAAGCACATTTCCCAAGTTCATAGAAGTGCCGTTTTTGATCAAATGAACAAAGTGATAATTTTTCTCAATTTCAATTACATAATTCAGAAGACACGAGATACTTCCAGATATAATAAAAAGGACAATAGGACATATATCTTATTCAATATTCACATACGAAAAGAAAAAAAATAATAAAGTGATGATCAGCGTAAAAGTCCACCAACTCAAATAGGTTTTTGTTTCCAAAACGGGAACTGGGATATAATGACACCCATGAATCCAGACATATATATATGTGTGTGTGTGTGTGTGTGTGTGTGTGGAACATCCACGAACTCAAAAAAGAACAAAACGCCATAAACCCAGTACAGAACATAACCAAAAGAACGCAATTAAGTGGGAACTTGGGAAAAACAAGAAAAACCCATGAATCTTGATGAGCGGAATTCCATACCTGATCAGAAAGAAAAACGGAAAACCCAACTCGATGAGACGGCGATCGGTTTCCGCAACTCTGGATTTCGTCTCTCTCAGGAGTCAAGGTTGACAATCAACAACTCAACCAGTGTGCAGAGAAGAGAGAGAGAGAGAGAGAGAGAGTGGCCTGCGAAAAAAGAAAAAAGGCGTTGTCCTATCTGGAGGCTTTTGGAGGGGAATGGAATGGAATAAAACAAAACCGACGCCGGATTGGTTAGAATTAGAGCGTTACGTACTACTACTGCCATTGGCCAATGTTCTCTCTCTCTCTCTCTCTCTCTTTTCTTTTTATTATTTTTTGGAAAACTGATGAAAATGGGATAATAAGTATAACGACTTGGTCAACTTGGTCAAGGTGACAACGAGTCATTAACGTATGGAGATAAATATTTCTTAAAAATATTAGGAATAAGTCCTTGGTTGCTTGTGGTATTATTTTTTACTTTCAAAATTAGTTTTTATTTGTAGTAAAAGTTAATTTTAGTATTTCGTAAATCATTTTAAAAGTATTTTTTTGAAGAATTTTTAAAAAATTTATAGTCAAAATTAGAAGCAGTCTAAAGATAATTTTAATTTTTAGATTACGCGGTAATCAATGAGTATAATTAATGAAACTTTTATAATATCCATAATACCCCTAATGAAATTTAAAATTTACAATCTTCTCAATTTAAAATTCAAATTCAAATTCATAATATAATATAATAATATAATAATATAATTGTAATATTGTAACAAACAATATTAAATAATATTAATAATTCTAATATTATTATTTTATCATATAATATGATATTATAATAATATTATAATTATTTTAATAATATGATATTATAATTATAATATAA